CTTTCTATGAAATATTCTGACAAGTCGATTAAAATAATTAAACCTCAATCTAGTGGCCAATTCGGTCGGTTTACCAAACAAAGCAAAATGATACAATTACAAGAAGAAATTCACTTTAAATTAATTTAAATATTTAAGTAAATTGAGAAGTTGCAGCAAATGATAACATCATTATAATGCACTATGAAACAAACCTTTTTTTTTTTACTCTCTCGGTAATGAAAATTCCACAATACACCAAACCAAAGAGGCAAAAACTAAGTTTTTTTCTTTTCTTTCAAGTTTTAACATTCGATCAAGCTCTTTAATTTCTCAAAGTTGTCACTACATTGCAATACATTAAACGACACTGAAGAGAAGAAGGCATTGTCAAGTATCAGTTATATGAGGGAAGAACTCAACATATATATAGCAAAAGCTTTGGAGCTAATCGAAAAGCCGAGATCTACAAATCTACGATAGAGTTTGTTGAGCGAGACATCACTTTCCCCTGTTAAAATAGAAATGGATTGTGTCTTAATCTTCTTGTTTAAGTGACAAAACCAAACTTTACATGAAAAGACAAAGTAGAGGAGATTGTGTTACTTACGCGTTCATCATCAGAGTTATGTTGTCTCCTTTAAGTAAAATCCTTCCTGAAAAGAGGTAATAGAAACCATAAGCAAACAAATCAAGACATGTAACTGAGACTTGTAATCAAAGAAGTCAGTCCAGGATAAACTCACCAAGTGGTTTTCTGGTGTTCTTCTTGATGCTCACTTCTTCGGCCTCATCCAACACTAGATTCATGTATTCGTCAAAACCCTGCAAAAAAGGAGAAATTATAACAACGAATCAATGATACACCCAAAGTCGGATAGATAAAGTTCAAGTTTTTAAACCAATGAGTTTGACACAATAACAAATCTTCAGTTTCTCTGAATTAGCAGACAATCAACTTACAAAAAGCTTCAATCGCTAATGTGAATGACACCATCACCAGTTTCTCTGAACTAACGTATAATCTAAGAAAAACTTCAATCTTAACTCAACCGATAATAAAACTACAGCAACACACTGAAACAAGGAACATCCAAAGTAAATAGACACGTCCAAGTTTTAAGACAATGAGAATGACATCATCACAAATCTAAAGTTTCTCCAAATAAACAGATTGAGAAGGATAAAAGTATCATAAGCAAATTGAAACAAAAAACATCCAGAGTCAAATAGACAAACTCCAATTTGTAAGCTAAGGAGAATGACACAATCATACGTCTTAAGTTTCTCTGAATTAGCACAGAGTCAATTCAAGAAAAGCGACAGAGTCAGAGTCTTGATAACGCGTGGACCAACCCTAAGAATCAACTAGTTTCTATTCACAGGCTCTTATTAGTGCTTTTTGCAGCAGCAACAGTGACAAACAAGAAACGAAGTCAACAATCCACTAGTCTATGAACTAAACACGTTCATCAATTCAACTACAAGCAACAACTTTGAGGGTAAAGCAACATACGGAAGTCTAAGTTTTAAGCCAATGAGAATGACACATCACCAATGTAAAGTTTCTCCAAATAAGCAGAGTCAACCTAGGAAATCCTTTAAGCTTAACTCGAGAAGAATAAAAGTATCATAATACAAATTGAAACAAAGAACATCCAGAATCAAATAAACAATCTCTCTAAATGAGCAGATAGTCAAAATCTAAGAAAAGCTTCAATCTTAACTCAGAGAAGAATAAAATCTTAGCAATACAAATGCAGTCAAGAGGATAAAGACTGGACCAAAACCCTAAGAATCAAACTAGCTTTCTATTCACAGGCTCTTATTAGAGCTTTGTGCAGTAGCAACAGTGACAAAAATCAAACAATCCACTTTCTATGAACTAAAAAACTTTCATCAATTCTCCTTAAAGCAACAACTTTGAGTGTAAAGCAACATACGGAACACTAATCTTTGGATTCTTTAAAGTAAGACTAGATTTGAAAGAACAGTCACAGTACAAGATATACTTACAGTAATTCTTCCTTCAATCCTCAAATCTTTCTGC